TCCTGGCTTCCAATTTAGTGTTCTTCCCATGTACTCGCAATGTACTCTACTCTATGGTATGTATGTGTATTAAGTAATGTGTCTTGTATAAAATATGAATAAAATGTCCATGTGGGGAAAATAATACATACACATATCCCTTCTCTACAGAGTACTTCTTCATATGTTTTGATTATTTATTTTCCCTCATCTGTTCTTCAGTGTTCCTATAATTACGCATGCCTCTAAAAGAGAGGTCATCAACCTATGGCCCATGGGCCACATCTGGCCAACTGCCTGTTTTAATAAATAAAATGTTATTGGAATAATACATCCATAGTCATTTGTTTACCTGATATGTAATATCTGAAGTACCACAGGAGATTAGTTTGCAGACCCTATCCCTAAACAATCAGAATTGAGATGAACTAAACAGAAATGTGTTTGAGTATTAATGTAACTCATAAGAGCAGGTACCAATAAAATGGTATGGAAATATTAAACCACAAATTAGATGAGTGAGCCCAATAACAATTAACAAATTAGACTACTTCAATATTCGCACCTGTGTTTTCAACTTCCTGTTTTAACCCATGTATTGTCTTAATTTTAGGGATTTTAAAATAGTAAGAGATTTGTGAAGCCCATCACATCCTAGTATCTTATCCTCCGTTCACTTCTTGTTTTTAGCAGAATTCTTTCACATGGAACCATAACTTTGACACTCGGCTAAGATTGACCCAAGTTCAAAAGGAGGTATGGGTGGTGGCAGACAATACTGTACAAGACATGAACATAGTGTAGGGGACCGTGTGTGAAAGCCAGAGTCAAATAATCAATTATTTAAATCCTGGTTCTATTTCTTCTCTCTCCATGACCTTGAGCATGGAACTTGGAGGCTTAACTTTACACCCAGAAACAGGAAGATTACATCTAATGTTTGTAAACCATTTAACACAGATCCTGAATACATGGAGCAAAGAGAAACAAAAAACTTCACGATGTACAGAGAAACCACTGGTTGATGCACCTGGTAATCCAGGGTACCCATCAGTCCTTCAGCAAGGCCGAAACCCAGAATTTTGCGTTTTATGCTGGAAATTTTCACTTGGATATTGAACTGCTGTGGAAGCTGATAGGTTCAAATTTTCTCAATATGACATGATAAGTTATATTTGTTTGAGTCTTACCATGTGACAGTATTACCTGTCTGAAACAGTATATGCCTTTTATCAGGGACATATTAAGCATAAATGCTTAACCAAAAAAGTTGTTCTTATCATGAAATTTAAGATACTATGAAAGGAAATTATTTTTTAGTAGAAGAGCCCTTTGGGGGTGCTTTGAAATACCTATAATGTCTGTATATATTGCTGATCCTTTTTACAGATTCAGGATTTCTGATGAAAGCTGTATATCCTCATCACAGAACATGCACACACACACAATATTTGTATACAATTTTAAGGGGTTGAGGATGCAAACCCTTAGTTAAAATATTCCTGTTCTTGATTTTTTTAAAAAATGAGGCTGAGGATTTAAATTTTACTCTCAAGTCACAAATACATCAGAAAACTCCCCTCCCCATATTGGTCTCAAGTGTACACAGCCGAAGTTCACGGAGGCACATTTTATGCAACTATTGTGGGCTCTGTGGTTTTCTGTTTTACGTTCATATAACGTAGCACCTATAAATAATCCCTGAGTCAGTGACAAATTCTTATTTAGAACATAAAAGAGCAAAAATAGGTTAGGAAAATCGACGGTTGACAACAAATAAATTCAAATGTGGACAGTAGTAAGACAAGCTTGGGTAACAAGGGCAACAGCTATTCTCAGGGTTGGAGGGACATAGGCAGAATGAAAAAGGTGGGCCCAAGACTCCACAGAAGTCTTTAGAGAATAGGAGATTCTGTTTAAATTTCTGTGACTCTGTTCTCTTCCAAGTCAGCATCTTGCATTCAAAAAAGAACTTGAAAGCCACTGGATCTGAGCATGCTGCAGCTCTTAGTCGATCCCCTTTTCCTACAAAGTTGTTTGCAAGGCACTTGGGAAAGGACTGAGCATCACCATAACTCCAGAATCTTCTACAACCTGAATATTACACTTCTCAACTCATCCCTGTCCTCTCTCTACTCATGCTCCTTATAAATTCCCCAATTAACTAAGCCTGAACTGAGCATGACCCTGGGGCACTGATCAGGGCGGGAGGCCATTGATGGTGTGTGGTTGCCTAGTGGGCTGAGCTGTGCTCCCCCACACTGGAGAGTTCTGGGCTTGTCTTCCCACCTGTCTGGGCTTTAGTTTCTGAACTATAAAAAGAAGGCACTTCCTTCGAACACTGAGAGAATATTTTTCTAATCATAAAGAAAAATATTAAGGGATGTGCCCACATGCAGCTGCCAGAAATGCAGTAATAGTATGAATTAACTTATTTTACACTAATGGGACAGAAATGGAAGCAGAGGACGGAAGATTTAGAGAAACAGCTCTTTTTTTTTTTTTTCTCAGAACTGGCCAGATTTTGAATGAGGCAAGGAGAGACTGTGCACCTAACCCTAATAAGACACAAATATAAGTAAAGAAAGACAAACCTTTTTATTCAAATCCCATTGCTGCTTCAGAGTCAGTTTTATGTCCTATTTCCCAGGCAAAGATTTTTCCAATTACTAGTATGCTATACTGAATACTCTTTCCTCTGACCACCCACAGCTCTATATTTTATCTTTAATTAATTTTAACAACTAACTTTTTCCCCCTGTTGTTTCTTGATTCATTTATCCAGAGCCTGAATCCCTGTAAGACTAGAAGTTTCTTTTCTCATTTTTGTCTTCTTCTTTACTGGTGTCTTCTATAGTCTTCTGTAAAACTCATTATTAAAAAATCTACAGAGCTAAGTTAAATTGTGAGGCAAAAAAGAATTGAACACATGGATAGAGTTTTTGTTGGAATAGTGGGGTTGCAGGTTCCTCTGATCTGGCTGTATCCTTTCTGTCCATATCTAAAGGACTTCCAGAAAAGATCTCAAAGTGTTCAATTATTTCACAGATATTTGTTAAAACCTCATTATGCACCAGGCTTTATGTTTGTCATTAAAATGTGTGATGATGAATAGATCCACCTCTGAGAGTAGAGTATTGTACACATAAGTGCAATTTTTTCCAAACCCTCCAAATGCTTTCATCACAAAGTTCAGGTCTTTCCACACCACGTGGGCTAAAGAGTGCACTTTATGGAAAATTCTATGACTCACAAGTGGTCAAAACCCAGGACAAGGTATTTGCATTTTGGTGCTTTCCGTAGGAGAAGGGAAGATGAAAACCAACCCTGTCTTGATCCCAGATACGAGCCAACCTTTCCTTCCAATCCCTGGCCCTTCGGACACGTGGGCCTGCCAGAGAGAGCTCTGGGAGGAAGTGGAAGGGATCAAAGCACCCGCCTTGCACTCACTGAAACAGAGAGCAGGACTCAGACCAACCCAGTTCAATCTTACTCCCTCAGAAGGGGAAGCTGCCCTCAGGGAAATGAAAAGATCACTTCCAACACCATTTACTGCAAGAAAACACCAACCCAAACCCTGGCCCTGGAGCGTCGACATCAATGAAGCAAAGTAAATGGGACAGCGCAGAGGGCAAAAATAATTTATTGTGAATATTTTAAATCCCTTTCCATGAAAAGTCTTCATTATTTTCTAAAAAGTACAAATACATTAAAGCTTACACTTGACATGTAAAAAAATAAAGAGGAAGAAGGATAATTCACCTGTTTTGCTAGTTTGCGGAACTATCCTCAGAATGAGACCACGTTACAATAAATGCATCTTCTAGTTCAATAAGAAAGAAAGTTTTCACATTATCCAGAGTCCTGGGTCCTAAAGAGCTTAAGGCAAATCTACCTGAGACAAGACTCAGACACACCCCCACACACAGCTAACCCCCTATACTAACTTCCACCTAAGGTCAACCTAACTGAAATAGTAGACTAAAGAGCTCTCATTCTAGGACCACAAACTCTCCTGGAAATTTTCCAGCAATTTCCCCGAGAAAACAAAAATTCTGATTTCTCATGACAGGCAAATGACCGAGCCAGTTACCAATATTCTCCCACCCTGTTAAATGAACTGGCGTTAAGCTTATAACAGTTTGTTTCAGAGAGTGGTTCTTCCTGTTTCAAAACCATCTTTCATCAGATCTACAATCAAAGCCTGAAGACACTGAGTACTACTAGAAGGCCCTAACACTGGGCCATGAAAAGCCAGTGTGTAATAGTTCTAGCTGACGGTGAGGGTTCTTAATGGTTCTCTAATGGGAGGTTGTGAAAATATACATGGGAAAACTCTCCAAAATGACAGCAGAGTGTTCAAAACTCAAAGGGAATCATGTTTTTAAGAGAGGTGTCCACAGGAACAATGAGGAGATGCAAAATAAAAGAACATTTTAAAAGAACATTTCCTTTCCGCAGCTATTGATAACATGGTGGCATTGGATGATGTGCCTACGGCTGGTTTGCTAAGAAATGCAGCTTCAGGTCATGAATGTAGACACATGACTGTGTTGCTCTGGTCTTAAATGCCCTCCCTATCCTCCCAGGCTTGCGTAGAGGTAGATTAAATGTAATGCTGAGTGGGAGGGAGATTTCAGTGAGCCACTGGCTCAGTTCTCCCTCAGCCTCTCCAACAGAACAGGCTGGCGGGATCTTGCTCAAAAATCTACCCCAGCACTAAAGAGAAAGTGTCCACATGGAGGTTCTTCAAAAATAGCAGTGAATTTACTTCGCAAGGTCCACCCTGTTCCGTCACCCCCGCCCCATCTGGTTTCCTGCCTCTACAACCAGTGGGACCAGGGCAGCTCTTGCTGTTTTGCTGGATGTCCTACTGTGCACAATCAGGAGAAAACGGACTGTGCCTAGCCCTCTCGTCATTTCAAATTCTTCCAGTTAATTCACAGTTTCGTTTCTGTAAAATAGAATGCGTTATCTTCATCCCACAGCCCAGGGAAACTGCTTCAGACACAGGCCGGCCTCTACCACGTCACTCTGAAAAGAAAATACAAACAAAAGATGCTAAATGCTTAAGAATTATGATTAATTTAAACACCCATCACTTCAGTTGACTTTATTTGGTTTGAATATATGTATAAAATTGGAATATTGTAAATTCCTAACAGAAAATTTCCTCTTCAGTCAACACACACACAAACACAAATTCTGAATCCTTTCCAAAAGGCAAATACCACACTGATCACTCTCATGTTTGGATATAATTCGTGAAAAATAACATTTGATGAGGCCATTTGGATATGGAGGACATTTTAACATTCAGTCCTTTTTCATGATCTCACTATAAAAATACCTCTAAATTTTCAGGTTTTTTTTTTTAAAGGTGCACAGTGTGTCATGAGAAATCCAGATGAGGGAAATGGTGTGAGCCAGCCTGGTGAAGGGGGTGCTGTCCATGCAAGGACTAGGGGCACTTCATAGAGAGCCCTTCATGCTCCACCACAGGCTTCTCCCAGTTGACTAGGGGCTGGGTAGTGCTTTGCAGTAGAGAGCACTGTAAGAAGAATCCCTGACCTCACCACTAGATATTTGTAACCAACATACAATCTCATTAGTGACAACTAAATTAGTGACAGCCCTGCCTGGTGTGGCTCAGTTGGTTGGGAGTTGTCCGTGCACCCAAAGGTTGCTGATTGGTGCTCAGTCAGGGCACATGCCCAGATTGTGGGCTTGATCCCTGGTAGGAAGTATGCAGGAGGCAGTTGATATTCAACGTTGTGCTCTCACATCAATGTTTCTGTCTCCCTCTCCCCTCCTTTCTCTCTAAAAATCAATAAACTATTCTTTAAAAATATAAAATAAATGTCTCCAGCCATTGCCAAATATCCCTGGAGGGGGGTGGCTATAAAATTGCCCTCAATGAGGAATAGTGTTCTTTGGCTAAACTCTTCCAGTTTTCTGAAGAATCTATTAACAGCCAAAATGGTTTCCCTTGACGTCCCAGGGATAGGATTCCCTCTGGCTTCTCTGCTAGGAACCAGCTCATCAGTTTATCCCCCCAAAACCTGCAAAGCTGATTCACTGTCCTCACTGCCTGGAGCCCCAACTGTCCTATCCGTTCTCACAGAAACCCAGAGTTGTCTCTGTTGCCCCCAGTCTACCAGCTGTCTCCTTCACATGTGAGAAACCTGTGCAAAATAGCTAACCCAGATCCAGAACAGATCCTGAAGACCCAATGAAGCCACTGTTTTACATTTGCAAAACAGACTTCTACTCCTTAGACTGGGACCCACCTATACATAATGTGAACAAGCTCAAAGACAGGGGAGGGAAGGGTTAATCCATTAAAAAAAAAAATGCCTTTCCCCTTAAGAGTATTATGCTTCAGTGAAATAAGTTAGACAAATACTGTATGGCCTTGCTTGTAGGTGAAATCTAAATTTAAAAAAAGAAGAAGAAAAGAAAAAAGAGAAAGAAACTCATAGCAAAAGAAAGCAGATTGTCAGTTCAGTGGAGGATAATTTGGGTGAAAGAGGTTAAAAAGGACAAACTTCCTGTTATAAGTACTGGAGTGAAGTATACAGCATGACGACATAGTTCACACCACTGTATGGTACATTTGAAAATTCTAAGAGGTTGGATCCTAAAAGTTCTAGTCACACAAAAAATAAATAAATAAATAAAATAAAAAATTCTCATTGTTAAAAAAAAAAAAAAGCAACAGACTCAAAATGAAGTCACTTTCACTAAGCCCACCAAGACCTACTGCCTCAGAAAAAGGCTGAAAACCAATCAGCCTGGAATTTCCCAGTCAGCAAGAGTGAGGTCACCTGCCTGAGAAACCACTGTCTTTCCGTAAGGGAAGGTCACCTAGACCGAAGCCCACCCATTCTTTTCATTTCCTGCCCCTCCCTTTTTCTGCTTAAAAACACTTTCTATTTTTTACAATTGCTCTGAGCATCTCTCTTTTTCTAAATGGGCCGCTTCCAGATCCAAGAGTCAATAAAGCCATTTAGATCTCTAAGTTTACTCAGCTGCATTTTTATTCCTTTACAGGAGCCGGATGAGATGACAGGTATAAACTTATTGTGGTAATCATTGTAAAATATGTGTCAAGTCAATTCTATCTCAAGTCAATTCTAATAAAATTATATATTTTTTTAAAATCCCTACTAATTATATGTAGTAAGGAAAGTTTTTATTTTTTTATAAGGCATTAAAATATGCCTGCAGCTAGGTCAAATAGTCATTGTATTTCCAAATCGGAAAATGAGAAATATGCACAAAATATTCCAGGAACCCAAATTAGAGTCTAATTTAAAGTTCTGACTCTAAAGTACACACATATATGAACCCAAAAGGAACCACAGACTGGCCTCAGAGAGTCCTCGGAATCCCTGAAATTGTAAACTGTTGTGTAGGGGGAGGAGTTGTGTGCCTTTTATTCTGGAGAGAAGATACTTGGTTGCCCTCATCCTCTAAGGGGCATACAAACCCAAAAATGATAAGAATCCCTGCTCTTTGAAGAATTAAAACATTAACTTTATGAAAAACTAGTTGCCCAGCTCATCACAGGCATGGGGGTAACCTGCCAAGTCCCAGGCGCATGTGAGCTCAGGGAACTGAACTAAGCACCCACAGGGTTTCACTTGGTCCCTCCCAGGGGCCTCACCTATCCCTGCCACAGCCATCTCTACTTTTTGGTTGGAGTTTACCTCTCACTTGTTCTCTCTCTTGCCCTACCTGCCTTCTCTTGTCTTTTTCTTTCCTCACTTCCCAAATGGTCACTGTCTACCTTTCCATTTGAGAGGGGCCTGAGAGCCGGAGTTCTGAAAACATTCAATGGCTGAAATGCTGCTCAGGCGTGCTATGGAAATGGATGAGGGGTCACCAGATTCCCCAGAAGAAAAGACTGAGAGAAAAGGACAATCTCCTAGGGAGCAGAAACCGGCTGGCTTACGTGGTATCCCTGGGGCCAGAGGCAGAGCCTGACTGGGTAATGTCTCTGAGGCTTTTCGGCTGAGCTGTCTTCTGGCCACTAAAGCAACACCCCCCATCCCCGCCCCTTTATCATATTCGCAACGTCACAATCCTCTGAAGCCTTTCTCACACTCCCCTACCCCCCTCCTTCCTCACCTACATTTGGAAAAAGCTGGTAATCACAGTATGTGCAGAGAGGGCTCGGAAAATCAAGGCCAGTCACCACAGCAGGAGACCACCGCATCTCATGCAGGGTGGATTTCCCCCTCTCACCTCTACACAGGAGGGGCCCAGGTTTCTTGTGTTCTAAAATTCTTGTCAAGAGTGCATAACCCCTCCGCTCCACACACGTATGTTCTCTGCCTGGCCCACAGACACACTTTACATACCGGTATTCACTTATGAGACTTTCCCAGTGAAGAAACTATTCACTTATGAGACTTTCCCAGTGAACTGAATTTTGGCCTTCTGGATGTCATTGTTTGTTTATTGTGTGTGTGCATGTGGGGGAGGGGGGGTGATAAAAAACTTTAAGAACTGCTTGCCAAAACTTTCTGCATTATTAGACCGAGATTAATCCACTTCACCTTCAGCCATCATGCTAAGTGCCCACTGTTGTGCTGAAGTCCCAAGAGTGCTTTATAACCTCTCTGTCCCACTCTCCGGACGTTGGGCTGCTGGCACCGTGCCTGGTGCTACACATCTCCTTCTCTTTGCCTTTTTCATTTTTTCCACTAGTATCTACTGCTAATGTGCAGAGTGTTTCTGACGGATGGTCCATGAGAAAATGAGACACCCAAGATTGTTGGCCTCTGGGGCTAAGGAGAGCTAGTGCATCTCTAAGGGAGGACTCGGAAGGAAGTGAGGAGAGATGGAGAGAAAGGCCAGAGCTTCAGTACACACATGGAAGGACATGTCAATGCTGTGGCCATTCCATCACCCCACCTTCCTTTTGCCAAGTCTTGTCAGAAAAGTTATCCTGCCGGGACCGGTTTGGCTCAATGGATAGAGCGCCGGCTTGGGGACTGAAGGGACCCGGGTTCGATTCCGGTCAAGGGCATGTACCTTGGTTGTGGGCATATCCCCAGTAGGGGGTGTGCAAGAGGCAGCTGGTCGATGACTCTCTCTCATTGATGTTTCTAACTCTATCTCTTTCCCTTCCTCTCTGTATAAAAATCAATAAAATATATTTTTTTTAAAAAAGAAAAAAATAAAAGTTATCCTGATAAGTGGGGTATAGTCTATGCTTATTAAACAACATATCAGTTTCCCTGTTTTGTTTTTCGTTGTAAAAGTAGATGAGTGTATTTATTATACTTTTCTAAGGAAATAGGTCGATTTGCCTTTTTATATCTCTCTATTAATTTCTTTTTTTAAATATTTTATTGACTTTTTACAGAGAGGATGGGAGAGGGAGAGAGAGTCAGAGATACCGATAAAAGAGGAACATCAAACAGCTGCCTGCTGCACACCCCCTACTGGGAATGTGCCCATAACCAAGGTACATGCCCTTGACTGGAATCGAACCTGGGACCCTTGAGTCTGCAGGCCAACGTTCTATCCACTGAGCCAAACCTGTTAGGGCTCTCTTAATTTCTTAATGAACTCAGTGGCCTTCAACAGAAGAAGAGACAAGTTGCCAAGTGAGATAATATCTCAGTGATTTAGCTATATTGTCTATTTCAAACTCTTTAACACATATTTCTCTTATGAAACCATGGTGTTTCCATGAAGAGTATAGTCACACCTCAAAGATATTGTGCTTTGGGTTCCAGACCACCATAATAGAGAGAGAATCACAATAGAGCAAATAAAAATATTTTTGCAAGTGAAGGGTCTTGCCTCCAATTTGTAAAATAAAATTAGCATCCGTGAAGCACAATAAAGTAAAGCACAATGACATGATATATGCCTGTACTAATGACATTATAAAGCGGAGTATGTGGCTTAGCATGTCAGTGAATTACAACAAGGAAACTTTCAGTAATCCTCATCTTTCTAGTTTAATTATTTTTTCCATGATTTTTTCTCAATGACTCAGTCTAGAGCACAGGGCCTGTGTAACCTCCACAGAACATGGAAAACCACCTGCACAGAAATTAACCTGAAACCTCTGTTCCCAGTCTGGTTCACTGGTTTACCATCTCAACTCTGTCTTCTTGATGTGCTTGACTTACCGTAGAGCCTCTGGATCAAGCCCCAGAGTCTCACAGCCAGACAGGTTCTGATCATGGAAATCCTGTAGCAAAATGCCCAGCACCAATTCCTCACTCATCATATACTTCATAAAACTGTCATCTTCCCACGGGACCCCAAACTGCAGGTGGTAGGTTATTGTGGCATTTTCCTCTCTGAAAGGCAAATTAAACAGAGAAAGTCAAACAAAACAGAATCTCACTGTTAGTCTGGAAACTGGTTTTAGCAATAACATTTCTTCTTTTAGTTCCTCATGTTCTTCCCCGTACAAAATAGCAAAGGGTGTGCTGTCCTGGAAGAATCCTCTTCCATGGGCCTTCCACAAAATTATCCGGTGACCCTCACCTTCTCCTCCCCCTTAGAACACAGCCCCTGGGAATCCACTGAGAGAGGCCACTGAAGGGAGAGATGGGACCCAGTGATTGTCAAGGGCAAGCTCAGGGCCCACTGTCTGCTCCAGCTCCAGCCTCTGACCCTCCAGACAGGCCAGGAAAGCCCTGTTCTCCTCCTGTATTCCCTTCTGCATATGCTCACACAACACCCTTTTCCCTGCCCCAACAAGTGCAGGTTCGTCAGAGCAATTTGCTTTAGCCAGTTCATTAGTGTTTAAGGTAGGGCCCAAAGCTCCCTGCCTTCAGGGGTGCAGAACTCCTGGGCTCCAACCAACCCACCCTATACCAGCAGCAAATCCTACCTCCCTGCTTTGACCCTAAACTAAGAAACTTGTTCTGTCCTTTTTCCACCCCTGAGGCTGCCAGTGATATGCTCTCAAGAAGAGGACCTAAAGAGTTTTTCCCATTATCAAAATAAAAATAATCATAGGGCTATTCTCAGTTAATGAGTAGATTATATTATCTGTTAAATGCTGCCAACGTTTAGGTTTGCCACAATTATCCTATTACTTTCAAGATGAGCCAGATTAAGAGCAAGCAATAAAATAATTAGGGGTAGCCACATCTGAGACTTTCGCCGGAGGTGGTTTTATAGACAGGCCAGTCCCAAAAGTGAGTGTTGCCCCTATTTAGGACAAGCAAAGAGCTCCCTCTTGTGGCCAGAGGTCACCTTAACATTAACATGGCTGACAAGTTTATAGACAGCCAATGTGTCAAATTGTGGTTTCAATGAATGACAGTCAGACTCTGGGAAAACAGTTTCAAGGAAGCCACTACAGGCAGGCTGAAAACTGTGCTTTCAAACTCTAAGCCAGCAAGTCTAGTTTACAGGTACTTCCTGTGCTTTACCTTCTAATTATCGCTCAGGATGGTCACATATTGACTCACAGCCATCCTGTGCTCCCATGAGCAAAGGGTTGGCTTATATGGAAAGGCCTAGAGGCTGACTTTCATAAGACCAGACCAGATGCTGAATGAGAGGTTTGCTCCCATTGTCATTCTACCAAGTCAGTCTTGGAGTGAATGTGCACAAGGCTGGATTCTGAGGGGAGGATAGGATTTTCAGGGAAGCAGAGAACTCTGTGGGCTTTGCCTCATCTGCCACCACCTGAGTGGGTCCAGCAGTGGATGAACCAATGGGCACTTCTCAGGTTTTCATTTAGGGTGGCTGGGACTGAGGTCAGGATTTGTGTCTACGCAAATGTCAACAGGCCTGTGGCTGTCTCCTGCTCACAGGCAGCAGCTGTGGGCGGCTTTGGAAGCAATGGATTTGTTCCTCAATTCAACACTGTTAAAACACTGCCTAGATTTTTAAAAATGTTTCCCAAATTTCTTTATCTAAAATACTCAAACCCTTGTGTTTTTCTACCCAATAATTTTTAAAGGAAGATTCTGTAACAGTAAGTCTTCAGACTTTGAGCCATGTTTCATTCCTGTCTCTGATGAGTTTTCCCATTATACAATCCCAAGTCCTCTAAGCCATAATAGGAGACTGGATTCTTAGAAAAGCCCTTCAGTCTAGGTGGCTCTCAACTCTGGCTGAGTCCAGAGTTGCACAGAGGAAAGTATGTTGGGTCTAATTATGCATTTCTCCATTTTCTGTTGGTGTTTTAATACCAAAGGTTTGAGATTAAAATGAGCAATATCAAAGAGCAAGTCACCTTACTTGGCCATAAAAAAGAATAAAGTCTTATTTGTGACAGCATGAATGGACCTACGGTATTATGCTAAGTGAAATAAGTAAGTCAGAGAAAGACAAATACCATAATATTTCATTTATATGTGGAATCTAAAGAACAAAATAAACAAACAATATTGAAATAGATTCACATATACAAAGAATAGACTTATGGTTGTCAGATGGGAGGAGGTTTGGGAGACTGAGTGAAAAAGGTGAAGGAATTGAGAAGTAAAGATTGGTAGTTACAAAACTGTCAAGGGATATAAAGTACATCATAGGGTTATACAGTTGAAATGAGTTTTTAGGGGTAAAGTAGGCAGGTTTAGGGAGTTTTAGGAATTAGGGAGTTCATGGGGGAGAAAGGCATAGTTGGTCAGGGGCTTGGAGCTGCCAAAAGGCATTTATTCACAGAGAACAAAAGGTGCACCACAGGATAAGGGGAGAGGAAGACATCTATTCTCAGAAGATAGGACAAGCCACAGGGTAAAGGGAGAAAGAGGAAACAAACTTTCACCGAGGACAGAGAAATGCTGACAAGTGGGAGAAAGAGGAAAATAGATTTTCACAGAAGATAGAGAATTCTACCACTGAAGGGGGAGAAAGAGAAGGTGACACTACAAGAGGTTTGAGCTTTGAAGTTGATATTTTACCAATAAGAAGGAAGCATCAAGAGACAAAATAACTGCAGCCTTTCTAAACCTTAGGGGAAAGGAGCTTAGTGAGCTACTCCCTTTGGGATGCCCTCCCCACGTGGGAGTCTGTACTTGTTTCCAATAAATTTCCACCTTTTCATCTACTGCCTTTTGTCAGTGGCTTCATTCTTCGAATCCAACCTGGACAAAAACCCAGGAAAGAAACCACCCTTGCATCCTGCTCAGAAAAAAACCATTCAATTCATAGTCAATAATATTGTAATAACTATATAATGGTGTCAGATGGGTACTGGAAATATCAGGGAAAGCGTTTTGTAAAATAAATGATTGTCTAACTACTATGCTGAACATCTTAAACTAATCTATAATAATAAAAGCATAATATGCCAATTAGACCGGATAGCCAAATGACCTTCTGGAAGACCTTCTGGACAAAGCCAGGGCTGCAAGGCGAATTTTATGCATTGAGCCCCTAGTACAAAATAATATTGAATGTAAACTCTGAGAAATAGTTTAAAAGAAAACAGAAGTCATCATAAGGTCAGATGTACATAGGAATCCATAAAGGAGGATAAATAGTGTTGCCAAGGCAACCTGCCACTGTATGCTTTTTCAGACATCAGATCCATTTTCATTTGTCCTTATTATGCTACCACCTGCTTTACATGCTTCCCCTCCCAGGTCTATTTATATTACGGCTTTGGAAACGTATAGTTAAGAGATATCCTCAGTGGAATATTGCCTTTGATGATCATATTCCAGGGATATCTTATGAATAGTAGATGATAAAGCTTAGTCAGGTAAATTTTATCCTACAATACAAAAGGATAATCATGTGACTTCTCTACAGTACATACATATGCCCTTCACTTTCCCTGTAGTATATATCTTTATATTTTTAATATTATACAAGGAACATGGACTTCTATATTACTTGTGTTCCTCAAAATCACAAGTCAAACATGGCTTCTATCTTTTCCATCACATCACTATCTGAGATCTATTTCTATTTCTACCCTTAGCTCATTTACTCATTCTCTGTTAAACAGGAATGGTGTGCCTGGGACTGGCTTTTCCTCTCTTCTGTGTGACCTTGTTAAGTTACCTAATTAATCTGGGCTTCACTCTTCTCCTTTGTGAAATAAGGGAGTTAAGCTCAGCACTGATACTCTACAATTCTATTGTTGGTTCCCCTTATGCTTTGAGACTTGGGAGGTCCTTCTAGGTAAATGGTGATGTTGTTTTCTAGGTTCTCCACATGCTTACCTGAAGTCCATTATTTCCACTGAAGTAAAATAACGATTCAGAGCTGGGGATGAGCTGTACACATCTGTGAGCTGAAACAAACAGAAACAAGTAAAATAACTACACACATGACTGCTGGTTCTTATTGCCTATCACCTGACAAAGCAAAAGTACTCCTAGACAAAGGGGGCTCAACACTAGCTAGAAACTAACTTATCCAGAGACTCTGGGTCAAGAAGCAGGCAGAGGTGGGCCTAGCCAAAAGTTTGAACCAAAAATCAAGTTCACACTCACGAAAAAGAATCTCATTTGAAAAGGATCATGTGATCAGGCTGGGATTTTCAACATCTCATATGTATTGCCCTATCACTTTGTGGCCTTAATGAAGAGAGTGGTCTGCAGCCTGCGTCCACCCAGACCCCACAGAACACGGGCAGGAGAGAACAGGGCGGAGGCTGGGAAGACAGCAGAACAGGCCACTCAGGGCCTGGCGCATCACTGGGCAAGGGCTTTCCCTCCCTTCTTGAGAGCTTCACTGTAAGAAGAAACAGCCATGCTAAGCCGCAGGTAGGGCACTTTCCCTGGAAAATGGGACCAACTGGGGCTGGTGTGTAATTGCAAAGATAATGGAGTTCTTATTTTATGCACGAAATATTGCCATCCCCAAAAATGACATCTATGTTCCTACTACCCAGGTTTCTTTGCTTCACATTTTACCACATCTAGTTCAGCCTTTCACTCTAAAAGAGAACAAACTAAACTACTCTTCTTATACACAATTCCTCTCTCGCTCAGTGCTAATCACTGTCTCCTCATGTATGTTTTTTTTTATATATATAAATGTAATACATCCTGGTGCAATCGGTGATACATAATTTAATTTGTGTTTTATTAAAATAAAGTGTGCACCATAGTCTACACAATCTTCTAAGACTTCCTTTTTCTTTTCACACAAAATTATGTTTGAGATTCACCCACAATGGTACATCTAGATGAATACCTTTCACTCTAATTCCTAACTCCTGCACAGATTCCACTAAATGGTTGCACCAACTTTCCCATTTATGTACAAACTATATTGAAGTTATCACCCTTGAATACCTCTGTGCCTCTCTTCTTACACATATGAGAAGAAATGTCAAGAAATAGACTTGGTAGGTTTATGAGTAGACACATCTCCAAAGGAACTAAATCTTGCCAAGTTGTTTTTCATCTTACTCTTCTCCCAGGAAGGTAGAAATGATCCATTTCCCACAGTCCTGCTGGTACTTAGTGTTACTTAGTTTAGATTTTTTTGCCAGTTTGAAGAGTATAACATTGTGCTTTACATTGTTTTAATTTGCCGTAAGCTAATTCTATCCATTGCTCTTGTGCATTTAGCCATCTTGGTTAACAGACCTTTAAATGCCAGGAGTATTCCTCTTTATCAGATCCACAGGGAGCATATAATCTTGTTAACTATTCTATAATTCAATCACAGAGATTTCCCTGCCTTGCTTTCTCACACCTTCTTATAATCTTCCTTATGTTCCCTCCTTAATTCCCATGGTATAAAAGAAACCACAAAACAGTCATTCCTGAGAGCATTTGAGATTTTGTGTCCTGCCATGATATTAGTTTGCTCAAATAAACTCATAAAAATTCTCTACAGATTTGGACACTCTCATGTCCAACCTTCTCTGTTCACTCCCTCCTTTCCTTCCTTCCTTTGTTAATCCTAAAGACCTAGCACATTGTTTTGTACATAGTAGGCTTTCAGAAAAAAATCAAGTTAAAAATTTAAGAGATGGAGTGCTACATTAGATCATTTTTAGTGGCATCATCCCCTGCTATAATTAGGATATATTTATATATTTGGGAGCTGTTAACCACACTATCTACTTTGGGCCAATAATCAAAAAAATAAACAAACAAACAAAAACAACAGAAAAATGGGGGTGTGGGGTGAGAAAGGATGGGTCAGGAGGTGCTTCTCACCCCTGTTTCTGGGGCCTCCCATACTGTGCCTATGAGGCAGGGTGCAGACTGAGCTAGGAGCCTAGTGAGCTGATCATCAGAGTCAGATTTAGTGACTAATTAAAAAACAGCTTCCAGAATACTTTAAGAGAAATACCCTCTCCTAGATTATCATAGGTGCCATGCTAACTCCTGCCTCCAGCACATGCACATAGCTAACGGGCTGACTTTAAGCAGAGAAAGGGCCCCAACCCTAACATAGCACTCAGGTGGGGAGATATGACAAGGGGCTAGGAAAACTGTGTTCACAAACACAAGACAATAAAGCAAAAGAGGGGACATAGATTCCAATATACATTCCCACTTACCTTCTTTCTCCAGAAACTTTTGGAAGCTGGCCTAATGGAAGAAAGGGAGAATCTCGACCTGACAATAAAATAGTGATATCTCCAAGTTCCTCATTTTTGATCCTGAACATATTTGTTTAGGAAGCCATGGGGAGAGGCAGGGACAGGAATCTTTTCACTTCATTGCACCTTATTTTTATTATCTGCAAATCAGATAACATTTTAAAAATCTTTTGCAAGGTTCTTTCTATACACCTCATATGCACCTGTGGGTACACAGGGAGGACTCAGTGACTCTCGTTGATTAGAGAAGAAACCCGCTCAGAGACCTTGGCCCTGAAAGCACCCTCAGTTCCTTTGCCACTACACAGTGATAAGCCGAAAACACCCATAGAGTCTGCTCTGTGTGAGAGATATGGTCTCAGGTGAATGATTAACATCCATTTCCCTTTGACATAGAGAGTGCAGCCTGTAACAGGTGACTTGTGTGCTTGCTGATTCATTTCATTTCTGCTCATCAAATGCAAACCCTCAATTTAAAAAGCAACCAAGAGGAAAGCAGCAAGAGGCTCTTCACTTGCAGCTTGCTCCGGAAGCAGTTGGAAGGAAGGGAGGAAAACGGCATTGCAGAGGAGATATAAACCAGGAAAAGGAGGAAGAAAGGAAACCCAGATAATCTTCCCAGAGCACAATCTCCTGTGGTCAAAGCAGCAATCGAGGTTATCCCCTGGGGACTCAGAGTTGACTCAGGGGCGACTGAGATGGAAGCGCCTCTTTCAGTAGCTTTGGTCAGAGTCAAATAGAAGCCAAATGAAGAGGACTCGCCATGTTTGACCTAGCGCTGCAAAGAAGAGTGTAAGGGACAGCAGGCTGGCCTTGCTTGGATTTTCCTATCAAAACCTTTGGGTCTGGCTATGAGCTACCCTGTCTTTGACAGGATGACCAGGATTTCCCTAACCAACACTCCTGGTCTGGCTGCAGAGCACCCGTATTTCACAGAGGGCTCATTCTCCTGAACTTCCCACCCTATAAATCATGCCACATTCACATTCTTTCCTCACACCCACACCCAACCAGCCAGTAAGTCTTATTGAATGAGAAGACCTCTGAAGTCTCACTTGAATCTTCCTTCTTCCCCCTGACATCACCCTAGTTCAAGGACCCCTGTTTCATCTGGCCTACCACAATGCTTCTAACTTACTCTACTGCAATGTTTTCTCACCATTACACAGAAAGGTGAAAATGAAAGTTGACCCTGTCAACCTGCAGATTAAAATATTTTAGTGCTTTACCCAAGAGTAGGAAAACCACCTTTCCTGCTCAGCTTCACCACTGCAAGTCCCACCACATAGCATGTGGAGGCCATAGTACACTGCTGTGCAGACCCTCCTCCTAAGAATCTTCTCCTTCTCTTTCCAAGTCTCCATCTCTACCTCTGTAGTCTAGATGCAATCACCCCCCACTTCCCGACTTTGTGATTGTAAAACATCCTATATGCAACTTGACAATAGAATATATCACACCGTTTTTGTACTATCTATTTAATTGCTTCCCATACTTGGGCTGTGAGTCCCCACTAACAGCACAGAGGCTGTGGCCCTGGCACTTGGCATGTGGTCTAGTTGCTAGACTCTAGCACATCATAGACCCTCAGTGAAGCTACAATTAAATCAAATGTAAGAGCAGAGTGAAGAAACAAAACATTATCCTCCCTCCAACTAGAGGCCAAGGCTCTTCCCTCTGATTTTGCATGACAGAAAGTCCATTTATAAGTGTCCATTTCTGCCAAAATTCAGACCCAAAATATCCAAGTTTGAAGCTACTGACTCCGTGGCTCTATGCCTACTGTTGTAACAGAATCCATATTCTAATGTTTGAATTCAGTAAACAATGCATAAGGTCCCATTACCCTTTTCGTGAGCAGGTGAGGCAATTCCTCTTCAGTAACACACTCCTCTGGAATCTTTAGCATGACCAAGAATGTTTTATTTGATGATAACTCAAGTATTTCATTTTCATCTTCATCGATGTAAGTTACTAAAAAGAGTGGAGGATGGAAAGAAAAGGTAAAAAACACATATGCATAAAGTAATAAACATATTCATTGGTTGCTACTCTTTAAAGACAAACAAAACAAAACAACAAGCATGAGTCAAGGATAAAGCCAGGCAAGAGTAAGCAAGTATGAACAAAAACGCTTTTCCCTCTTGGGTCAAACCAAATAAAGACAAGGTCTTCCCTCAACCATGATAAACATGTTATTTGTTTGTTTTATGCCATAGGGGTCTCAGCGTCCATTGAACACAGACTGAGGGAAAGGCCAAAGGGCCAGGGGGATGGAGTGGGAAAAAGGAGAATTTTTGTTGTTGTTGTTGTTGTTGTTGTTGAACTGGACCTGCAGCTTAGCTATGTACATGGGTGTCAAGGCAGATGCTGGGAGACAATCAGGACAGGGGGACGAACAATGGGTGATGGGGAAAGAGAGTGGCCAAAGGAATCATCATGGGCCAGAACAGAGGGGGACTGGAATATGAGCATGTGAGCCCATGTCTTGAAATCTCCCAGGGAGACCTGGGCATGAAGTCATCACTCAAGAGTAAGTCTCACAGGATAGGAATGTTGACACGCTCTGTTTGCAGAAGAGAAACTCAACTGTACTCAGAGCCCCGGGGTGAACAATGAGTTCTGTGTGGCTGCTTGAGCTCTAATGACTGAGCTAACTTATTTTTATGCAGTCAGAGCTAAAGAAAAAGCACACAAAGTTAGGAGCCAGGAGCTAGAAGCTGGGACTCACGGTGCTAATTATGCTCCTAATACTGCCTCAGCCTCACCATCTGAGCCCACGCACAGACCACCTCTCTGACCCTGAGAAAGGTGTAGGTGGGTGGAACTTGCCATAGAAGTTTTTCTCAATTCCCAAGCTTTAAAAATAACATAATCAGCCTCTTTTACTGGACTTAGAAAAGACCCCAGTGGGACCAATTCAGTGTTTCTGATGGGAGGGCGGGTGAAAAGAAGGAAGAATTCTGAGACTTACTTCCTGAGACAGTCTGGTAAGGTGAGACAAGAGGAGCAAGAGAATGTGCAGAGAAGACCTGACAGAGCAGCTGAGACTGCCAGCTTAGAAAATCCCAGCTACTCAAGGCTGGTGCGCTGGCCTCTGGGAATTTAGGTTTCGGAAAGGTTCCCACCATTCCCTGATAAGTCTGACTCAACTATTTGTACAAACAATGCAACTTACAATGAACATCTTTCCTTTGGGGAGTCTGGAATGTTAATAGGGCCAGGCAGAGGCTGCCTATGTGACCAACCCGAATAAAAACCCTGGGCACCGAGAACTTCCCTAGTGGAAAGACTTCACAGCTTGTTGACACAAGGTATTGTGAGAGGAATGAAATGTGTCCAGTGGGGTGCACCAGGAGAGGACTCTTGGACACTTGCTTCTCCTGCATTTCACTTTATATCCTTTTCCTGTAATAAATCACAGACATCTCCACAACTACGTGCTGAGTCCTGTGAGTCCTCCCAGCATTCACGGAATCTAGTGGTCGATCTTGGGGACCCCAAACACAGGAAATACCCCGGCATCTTTATTTGTTGTAAGTCACTCATTACACTATTTTGTGAGACAATAGCAGAAAACTTGTATCCCTGGAGATCACATAAGGATCCCTAGAGAATTAAATCTCATCATATTTCTAAGCATCCATTTACTTGTCACAGTTTGGTTTTCATAACATTTTAAATATTTTGCTTAAACCAAGAAAAGTTTCATTAGAAAGGTGTAATTCAGCATCTCTCTCTTCCCTGGTTGGGGCAAATTAGTAGAGAAAGTAGAACCCTTGAGAATGCTTAACTGATTCTCCAAATAATCCAGAAAGAAGATGTCTTAGAGAGAGGGAAAGTTTTGTGTGTGTGTGTGTGTGTGTGTGTGTGTGTGTGTGTTGTTGTTGTTGTTTTATTTTTGTTTTGTTATTGTTTCCTCCCTTTACTTTTCACACCAAGGAACTGCTCATTCCTTGGGAAGAAGAAGAGAATCCATTACTAACCTTTTCCCTAAAGACCTATGAATTCAATAGGATTCCCTGGGCCCTGCTCATAACACTTTTCATTTAAAATGATCTGTCTACAGTGAACCTGCTCTTTTCTCTTTTGCAGTGTACATGCAACCCCAACTCAGCACCTTAGGCTGAGCCATGATCCTGAATTTACCATTACTTCAATGGCCACAGGTAGAGTGGCAGGAGAGCCCATGCCAGCTGCAGACAATAAGGGATGCACAATTTGCAGAGAATCAATAATAAAATGACCATAGATTGCTCTGCTGACATTCTTAACGTCAGTGACAAGATCCACCTCCCTATCTAGTGCCTCACCCTGTCTCTTCCCCAACTAGTTACCCTTTGGGTTCTGGGATGTGTGTACTGTCTGTCCCTTGCTGTGTCCACTTCAACTCCATAGTTACTAACACCTCTGCCACCGAGCCTCACTCTGAGAACCACAGAGCCCTAAGACATGAGATTACGAAGTTGAGAGGAAGGGAAGGGAGAGGAGAATGGCAAGTGTAGTTCCCAGTGAACTCACTTCTTAGTGAACCTGGATGAACACAGCTATAGCCCTTGGCTCTCTAGACAATGCCCTTTTCCCAGACAGCAGCATTTTCCACATAATGCTCAGAAGTTCTACAAGTATTTGATTCCTATCAATGGGCTTGGCAATTAGGCAATGGCTGATCTTTGCAGATTGTCATCCCAGAGCACCTACTGAGCTGCTTAGGGAGAGGCTGAGACTCACAAAGGGGAGCCCTGTCCCACCCCTTTGCACCTTTTGCAACTCCACTGCCTATCATGATTCTCCCACAGGCCCAAACCCCTGAAGTGCCAAGTAAAATTAAAGTATTTCTCTGACTTTAAAAAAAAATAGCAAAAGTTTGAAAATCTCTCTTATAGCATTAACATTTTAAGAATACAATTTTCTAAAATAGGAAATGAAGTTTGCACTCTAAGTGTTAAAATGATCTTCCTGAATACCATCCTATGAACTTGGATGTCCCTGAAAAACTGCTGAGGGAAATAGAATCCCTTCCTCTGCAGATTGTAAAGGGACCAGATAACTTTTGGAAACGGAAGACAGCTCTTGAGTCTGCACTTTAGAATCCTGGATGTTGAACATCTAGCTCTGTTGCATCATCCTTTGTTTTGGGCCCCAGATGCCAACAGACAAATCCGTCGACTTTTAGGATGGCATCAGCAAATTGTGACAGGACAAGGCTGTATGACTCAACTACAGTTTCCACATCCACACGTGGGAGTTGATGGGAAGAGGGAGTACCAATGTTCACACAAAAACAATTGTCCTCAGCATGATGGAAGAGGTGTAACACCTCTTATTAACTTCTCCCCACCTCAAAACCAGCCCATGGCCTCAAAGAATGATCTATCCCACCTCAACAATGTCCTAAATAAGTAACACTACTGTCAATGTGAGGTCGGCACATGTTATCAATGTTTTCCTATTCCTTCCGGGGCCACACAACTTTGGGAAAGGATCTGAATGGATTGAGAGTGGGGAGAGCTGGAGGTGAATGGCAAATGCAGTTCCTGAGGAGAGTTCCCAGGACTTCTCCAGAGAGACCCAGGGGTTCCCCTCTTGCTCTCATCCTCTGACTAGGTTTGCTGTGGAGAGCCTGGCTCATCTCCAATCCTCACGGGACTGAATCGCCCTCAAGAGTATCACATCCCAGAGAGTTTCTCCCCCTACAATCACTCACACATATAACCTAAAACAGTTTTCTTCTCTCCTGTTTTGAATTGAAATGATTGCCCACTGGAGGATGCTATTTTTATGCATCATAAAAACCTTAATACTGATAATCATAAAAAATTGGAAACTAACTACAAGATACAAGACTTTAAAATGGTCTGGAAGACTACCAATGCAGTCATTTAAAAAAAGAGACTTCTAAATTTATTGTGGTAATCATTTCACAATGTATATAAATATTGAATCATGATGTTATATATCTGAAACTAATAGATGTGATATGTCAATTATACCTTAACTTAAAAGTTTTTTTAATGTTCATAAATAACTTTTAATAAATTGGAAAAGTGATCTCAAAATACATTAGAATCCACAAGACTACAAAGAAAAATCTGATCTCACATTATTTTTTATGTTCATGATAAATAATTTTAAAATGAAATAATTATGTAAAACATACGGTTAGCGTCATGTTTTTGTTTTGTACATACATAAACATAAATACAATACAGTTATGTCCAAAATAAGCTTAAATAATGACAGCTTACAGATACACAGTTCTGTCAAGTTTTTAAACTTTCAAATATGCTATTCATTATTTTATCATGATAGTAATCATAAACCATCTATAAAAGGTGAAGTACAATAATTATTTTAACTAAACAAACTATAAGAAATTAGGCAACCAAATAGGTTTAGAGATACAAAAATATATCTATTAGTGTTTAAATAAGTTAAAAATGTAAGAAATCGCCAAAACCGGTTTGGCTCTGTGGATAGAGCGTCAGCCTGAGGACTGAAGGGTCCTGGGTTCGATTCCAGTCAAGGGCATGTACATTGGCTGTGGGCACATCTTCAGTAGGAGGTATGCAGGAGGCAGCTGATCGATGATTCTCTCTCATCAATGTTTCTAACTCTCTCTTCCTCTCTGTAAAAAACCAATAAAAATATATATATTTTTTTAATTTAAGAAATCTTCAAGATTCAATGGGCAGAGTTTAAAGTAAAACAGAGGTTTCCATACTACTTCTGGAGGTTATAAAACAAACAACAAAACAAAAATCATATATTTCTCCCATCCATATAACACATTCCACACCAGTTTTAAATTCAAATTATAAATAATGAAATAGCAATGAGTACATATACCATTTCGGTGTAAGTCATAAGCTTTAAACAAGTTTTCTTAAAATGTGTACATTTATTCATGTGTACATCCTCTTACCTCCAAAAAGACATAAGCTTATGATGATCACTACAATGAAACCGAGGAAGATAAAGGCGATGGCCATCCACAGTTTACACTTTCCAAACAAAGGCCTATTGCAGGAGCTCCAAGGGCTTTTCTGGTTAGCCTGGAAAGCAGAGGGAGACTGCGAGTTAGCCATTCGGTTCAACAAGCATGTTTGAACACTTAGTATGGGCCAGTGTCACAGAAGTGAAAACAGCAGGTTCTGACCTCACAGTCTACTGAGTCAAGTTCACAAAGAGGTAGAATGGAACTTCACAGAAAACCTACAGTCTACTGAGTCAAGTTCACAAAGAGGTAGAATGGAACTTCACAGAAAAGTTAGCAAGAAATGCCCTGGGGGCTCTTAGGCAGGCAACCTACAGGATGTTGAAGGGTGGACAGATAAGTATTTCAAAGCCACAAAACAGCATCCCTGGTGTTGATTCATAATGGAAGTGACCAGGAGCCTCCGCGGATTGATTTCTGGGTTTCCAGGGCAAGCAATGAGAGTTAAAATTAGAAAGAGTGAAAGGCTGAAGAATATTTGAGAGGGTTCTGAATGCCACCAGAGCAGTTTGTACTTAATTGGGGTGTACTGGAGACCTGTTACAGATTCTGGAACACAAAGCTGAATGAAAGATTCAAAAAAAAAAAAAAAAAAAAAAAAAAAAAAGGCGATGTATAGTTTAGATTGGACACGCCAAGAAAAAGCTAAAAGGCTACCGCTGTGACTCAGACTCTATGTAATAAGGGCCTGAGAAGGGATATGAAGGGAAGGATGGAAGAGACAGCAGGAAGTAAAGCTATTAATGGGCATAGTGAGGCACGGTGTGGGGTTAAGTAAATAATTACAGCCAATACCACTTCCCTTTATCCTGGCAGCCCTGCGAGGGAGGGAGGCTTTAGCCTACTTCAGAGAGACTGGTCAAGACGAACCCTTGCTGAGTGTCACTGCCCAGCTGGTGTCTCTCCCTTTCGTCCACAGCCACCCTGTGTCACTGTGCAGAGTTCCAGGTTATGGGCAAGCCAGGCTCCTCTGCTCCCTGCCACCTGCCGTCAAAGGCCCCCTGGCTCATCTCCCCCTGGGCCGTTCAGTAATCCCCACATGGACACCATGGGAAACAATGGAATATGATATGGGAAAGTGTGTTTCTGTATCAGAATCCCACTTATACATGTCCGATGACCATCAGCAAGCTACTAAAACTCTCAGCCCCAATGTCCTCAACTGTAAAATATAAATAATAAATCTATTTTATGGGGTGTTGTAAAAACTAAAAATCATGTCCATGAAGCACTTGCTAACAAACATTAGGACCTGAACCAATGGGCATGACCGTGACTGCGTGTCCCGCTATCTCTCCCCCAACCACCACCAGCAGCAGCAGCGCTTCCTGAGGCTCTCTCTCAAAGTGACCAACATCTTGTTCAGATCTCTCCCATCTGGATTTCGGTGGCGGCCATCAGAAAAGGACACTGTCTGTCCACTATAGTTCACATGTTCTCAATGAGTGGCTCCCAGGCCTGGCTGCACATCAGAATCACCTGATGAGGAATTTAAACTGCACAGATCTAGGCTCTACCTGGACCTAGGGGACCAGGGTGTAGGAAGGTGGGGGCGTGCCCCAGCTTATGATTTTCACCCTCCCAAAGTGAACCGATTGTTTTGCCAGGGTTGAGACCTCTGGTCTGAAGCTGCCCCCACTCCTCAGGGGCCAGGCCAGATCTCTCCTGGTGGAGACCTTCCCACCACCGCACCCATGGAGAGATGCCCCAGTCCACGAACTGTCCACGCAGCTCACCTGCCGCTGCCCTGTCTAGTTTCATGTTTAAATATAAACAGATACTGGCCTTATCTTCCTAGGTAAAGTGAAACCACATGGAGGGAAGGGTGTGCTGTCCCTTCGAGGTGGTAAACCTAGAACCCTGGCTCTTAAACTTCCCTGTTTTTGCATCCCACTCTTGTGTCTCATACAGGTAACAGGCAGGTCATAATGTTGCTGAGTTACAGAGGGCTCCAAAAATGTTAAGAATGTGTCTTGAGAAATTCTAGAGTGGAGGTCCCACTTTGGAGCACCCAAGTGCACTCCACACTGGCTCTAGGAATCAAGGATGAGGGAGTAATAGACGCCCTGGGACTAACTGAACAGATGAAAACCCTCGGAGGTGTTTTTTGGAGTCCAGAGGCAAAGCCACATCTCATCTCCACCCGAAGGCAGAGAACTGCCCCCAAGTCACCAAAGGCTTGGTGGAGCTCAATAAGGCCCGGGGGAGGGAGGTACAGGGGAGGGAGGGAGTCTCAGAGCAAGGAACTTTCAACTGTTCAGGACACAGAAACATATCTTCCTGTTTACAGAGCCCCCCAGACGCTGGCCATTTTAGTGCTGAGAGGAGGGGCAGCTGGGACCATAAAGATGAGTGCAGAATGGTCCCGAGTCTCAGATGAGTCACAGAATGGGCATCCGTGCACCTCTGTGATTTCTTGCCCCTTCACTTGTGCTGTCCCATCGAAGTGGTAAACCTAGAACCCTGGTGGTTTGAGACCACAGTTCTGTGATTTCCTGGGAGAAGTCAGCTCAGAATTACACAGCCCTCGCCTGTAGGAAAAGCCTCTTCTGTCCAGCCAAAGCTTCCATCCCACAGCCTGGCCCCTGAACCAGTCTGTCACAGCAGAGCTCACTACCCCTTGCATGACTAATCTTCACAGACTTAAAGTCAATATAAAACAGTCTGCTTGACACTCGTGACCCGACACTACAGTGGAGTGCTTCCCAGCTGTCTATTCTTTAGAACCAACCCAGGAATTAGTATTTTTCTCAGATGTCCCCAGGAGAGCCCACTGTGCCCTGAGGGTGGACAGTCTTCGATGGAGGAGGTGTGCACTACACACTACACACTACAAGAATGTGCGCTATCTGAGTCTCCCCTCAAAACCCGATCACAGAAATGCACTGCCTCCTTCACTGGCTTCCTCGTCCTCTCTTGTCCAAATTTTAGACCATGAGGAGAGGCCACAGGCAGGTTCTTCTGCAAGGTGCCTTGGAGATTTTTGCAAACTGCATCTGACATTCGACAATGGCACTAAATGGCTCAAGAATGTGTGTGGTTTTCCTCTGAACATTCCCCAGACATTCACATCCCTCCTCAGATAAGAATCCAAACACATGACACCGAGTCCTTCAATAATGGCTAGGCTACCTATTTCTTGGGTACAAAAATATTTTCTTCTCTGGCTGAGTCAGAGGCAGATATTACATAGATCTAGGGACACCTAGCGTGCAGGAAACTGAATTTTGTGATCTTTATTGTGGGATTTAATCCACTTGTTGATCCAAGCACAAAGGAGCCAGTTGATTCTTGTCTTAAATACTGAACCACTCATTGCAATTTTCAGGTAGCTTGTTTATATAAAATCTGCCTGCCTCAAAACAATCAATATGCTGGATTATGATGATAATGATGATGTTTTTATTTCTTAAAATGTCTCTGCGACTTGTATTTGGAAACAGGTCAGAGCTTGTGTAATGAGCCATAAAAAAACCAGTCTCATTCCATTACCCATAATTTCTTTTTCATTTTTGACCCAACCATATTGCCATGTTTACAGTGTAGCAGACAAAGTGAAGTTCAATGATTTATATTCCTTTCCCTCTAGCCCCAAACCCAGAACAAGAAAAGGAAATACGTTCTCTTCACTACCTTTGATACTCTCTCAGCTCAGCCTAGAAAAATAGCGATGAGATGGAATATCTTCTTCCCAATTATCAAAAGCTGTTCCCTATTTCTCCCCCCTCTGCCCATCCACCTGCAATTCCATCATTCCAAATATGCTCCCCAATTTTTAAATAAATTTCTATAAATTTATGAACTGACCGAAATTAGTAATATAGAACTTAAGTTGTTATACATAAATGAGTATAAATCACATATTGTATTTACACATTTAAATTATATATTGGTATATATCTAGCTGTGTAAAACAAATCAACAAAAACAGCATAAGTTTGGGACCTAAAAAATCTGAGTTCAAATCTCAGATTCACCTCTGAGTGAATTTGAGTCTCATCTGTCAAAGCAAAAGACACACTCACATTTGCCTCTTACGTTTGTTGTGATAATTAAACACATTTATGTATGATACATATTTGGCACTTGATAGGTACAAAACATACGGTTAATAAAAATATATAGACTTGAGTTTACATTTAAAAAACTGGAGCCTGGCCAGTATATCAATGTTTGAGCACCAATCTATAAACCAGAAGGTCACAAGGTCACAGTTTGATTCCCAGTGAGGGTACATGCTAGGGATGTGGGCTTGATCCTTGGTGTGAGGCAACCAATCAATGATTCTCTCTCATCATTAAGTCTCTTTCTCTCTCTCTTTCTCTCTCTCTCTCTCTCTCTCTCTCTCTCTCTCTCTCTCTCTCCCCCTTCCTCTCTGAAATCAATAATATATATATATATTTAAATTGGAAGTCTTAACATATAGTTTAAGGAGACCACACACAAAATTCTTTAAAGTCTGAATCTTGTGCTGTGCTACCCAACACTTTAAAGAACTCTACAGTAATTGATTTTTCAATTTAAAATACACTTCAATCTTATTCTATAGAACCAAAGAGAAAGGTTAGATAAGGGTTTTTTCTATTTTTTCCCCCTTTATAAAAAGTTTCCCCCCCCCATTCATGCATTTCTAGAATGTCCTCCAAGTGCTCATGTAACCCCCTCACCTTCATGCCATTATGTCGCTCACCACTAGTTTCCCATATGGTGACCTACAAAGTAAATTCACAAGGAAGTCTAGGATATCTGTGTATACCTGAGTCCGGAGGAAGTTACTAGCACAGCAATTTCAACCTGTGTGCTGCAGCAGGCACAAGGCTGTGTTGCAAAAATTTTGAAAACATGAAATATCTGATTATTTAGTCAGGGGCACTGACTTCTTTTCCCTTAGATGGTCAAGTTATAATAAAAATTGACAATAGCCAACACAACAATAGCCATCTGGTGTGAATAAATCAAAATTATACTTTTTTTTGTTAGATTGGCAATATATATATATTGCTGTACTATGGAATCTTAGTAACCAGTTTATGTGTGTCATGAGATGAAAAAGGTTGAAAATTACTGAATTAAAACATGAAAGAGCAATCTGTATTAGGGAGGTGCTAAACAATTCTGAAATACTGATATAGCGTACCCTACATATGCTTGGCATTTTCTTCCACTCCACTGTTTCCACCAAGGCGTGGCCAGGCCTCGGAGAGAAGCCAGGTTAACCACATTACATTACCATCCCTGGAGAGCGGGAACAGACCTCAGCGCCTTGCCCCAGGCCACATCCTTCAGCTGTGAAGCAGTCGCCAGAACTCAGATCTCTGGATTGTCCCAAACCATGAAGTCTTTGGATTGTCCTGGGTCCATGTAACATGTGGCAAGTATCCCAGTTCCCATTCCTGACACTGCCTTGGAGGCCACTTGCCCAGGATTAGACTATCTCTCTCCAACTTCCCTTTTCCAGAGGTGCTCAAACATAAGGCACCAACTTACTCTCCAAGGTACCTCTAGGCAACTGTAAAAGCAGACGGTGCCGTATTCCCAGGGATCGGTGTGGAAGCAAAAACAATGCTTTCACCGTGTAAATGTCCTGCTTATCCCTAAAACTAACAGTGGAGTGGCCAGAGCGGGAGTGGAGGAGCAGGACAGAAATGCCAGGTTGGAACCATCTGCACGGGGAGTTCCACGGAGCCAGTAAAACTCAAGCGAGTCTTAAGGTTAATCACAAGGTGCGTGGCTGGGAATTCCAAGCCTCTGCTGTTTTACAAGCGTTTGATGAGAATGAATAATGCTCCCCTCGCAGCGGGGGCTGAATCAGAGGAGTGCAGCCAAAACATTGCCAAGGACTTTCCTGGAGATGAAAATAAAGCCGAAGCAAATGAGGCGCAGCCCCGTATTCTTTGGCACAAAAACCTTTTCAATGATTTCCCTTCCACTGAGCAAGGCAAGTTTATACCCCACCTCCAGCCCCGGGCCCTTTTTGTTCTGGATGCTTTCTCCACTCTGCCCATCTCTCTTGCTGTGAAATCCAGTGGCCACGCTGGCAAGTGTGTGTGTGTGTGTGTGTGTAGGGGCTGAGTGCCAGGTGGGGTGGGCGGTGGGTAAGAGGACCGACCGGGAGGAAGCAGCAAGGTAGGAACGAGGGAATCAAGGAGGTTCTGAAGAAAAGGGGAAGACGCCATCTATCGCTCTAGTTCTATTTGAGAAAAAAAGAAGAAAAAGGAAACCTGAAAGTTACAGGACTTTAAAAAAAAAAAAAAAACCATTCTCTGGGGATTCTCTCTTGGAAGAGAGGAGCCACACACCTTCCTGGTGGGATTCTTCCAAGTTCTGTGGGAACCAGGGGGCTGCGAGGGGCCTGGGGCAGGCCCGGGCTGGAGCGCATTCCGGGGTGCACCCCACTGAGGGCTTCCCATCGCACACACACACACACACACACACACACACACACACACACACACACACCCATAGTCGGCGGCGCCGGGGAGCGGGCTGGGAACCCGACACGGAGGAGCCAGGCTGGGCTCCTGGCGGGGAGCCCGGACCCCGGGGCGCGGGGCGCCGAGGAGGAGAGCTTACCTGGGCTGGACGGGGCTCCTCGGCCGAAAAGGGGACAGGGATGACCTGAGCGGCTCCATTGAGAGGCGTCTGCTCGTCTGGCTGCCCCTCGAGCACCGAGAGCTCCAGCGGGTCCCCGGGCGGCGGGGGCCGGGCCCCTTCCATGGACGGCGGAGGACGACGGAGCCCGGGGAAGCAGGCGGCACACCCACCCCAGGGTGCAGAGTCCGCAGCTGCCTCCCGGCGGCCGGCTCTCTACCCCGTGGGTGCGGGGCGGGGCCGGGAGAGGAAGACCTCGGGCGGCGGGCGGGGCCGCGGGCGGGGAGGGCGGTTTTTCTGGTTTGTTGGGGCGCTGCCCGCGCTCCTTTCCCTGTTCGCGCAGATACGCAGCAGGAGGGCCTGGCGGGCGGCGGCTGCGGCACGGATGGCCTGGCAGCGCGGTGCCATGGGAGAAAGTTGGCATTCCCCCTCTCTCGCCCTCCCCCCCACCCCCAAGTTGTCTGTCTCTGGGATTTGTCCCAGCTTTCGCCGCCTAGCAAAAAGTTCATTCATTTCACCGAAACCAGTTTGGCTCAGTGGATAGAGCGTCGGACTGCGGACTGAAGGGTCCCAGATTCCATTCTGTTCAAGGGCATGTGCCTTGGTTGCGGGCACATCCTCTGTAGGGAGTGTGCAGGAAGCAGTTGATCAATATTTCTCTCTCAGCTATGTTTCTAACTCACTATTCCCTCTCTATAAAAAATCAATAAAATATGTATTTTTAAAGTTCATTTATTTCGTCAACAAATAACCTGCCAGCAGGAATCCTGTGAGGTTCTGATCAGATGAAGGTAGCAGCACACAGGAAGGGCTGCTTCCTTCCAGAAGGCTGGCAGAGGCAGCAGCAGTGGAAGAGGGAGGGCACAGCTGGCTTTGGAGCCAGACTGCCCCAGTCAATCCCTCTCTCAGGCTCGGGGCATCACCTCTCAGTGCCAGTTTCCTCTCCCGGAAAGTTGGCATCACATCAGTGCCCACTTTGTTGCCCTGGTTAAGAGAGTGGGTGTCAGAAAAAACTCAGAACAGTGACTAACAGCAGATATTCCTAAACATTGGCTATTATGCCCAGTTGGTGTGGCTCAGTGGCTGGGTGTGACCCACGAAACAGGAGGTCACGGTTTGATGCCTTGGTTGTGGTTGCAGGCTGGATCCCCCAATAGGGGGCATGCAGGAGGCAGCTGATCAATTATTCTCTTTCATTATTGATGCTTCTCTCTCTCTCTCTCTCATCTCTCTCTCTCTCTCCCTTTCCCTTCCTCTCTGAAATCAATAAAAATGTATTTAAAAATAAACTAAAACCTTGGCTATTATTATCTACCTTTAGGAATAGGGAATAGAGTCACAGACACACACACCCCCACCACCACCACCACCACTACATACATATCTGAGGGGAAAGTATACATATACACACACACACTCCATAGTTCAAAACTCTGGTTTCCTGAGCCTGGGATTATGTTGGCTAAGCTTCTGCCTGCGGATTCTCTGGAGCTTCTGTTCAGAGCAGGCTTGCCTCCCTACGTCTCACCCCCACCCCCAACACACACATATTGAAAACAGTTTGAAGTGTGGACAGGACACATATAAATGAATTCTACTTCAGAAGATGTTGACTTGTGTCCAGAAGTCTGGCACCCTCAATGCCTACTGTTCAGACACTGCCTAGATATTGGGTCGCTACCTCTCATGTACCTGCTCCCAGATCACCTGCACTTTGGACTCTATCTGCCTGCTGAATGGGACCTTTGGTGGCAGCCACTCAGCTGCTGGCCTGCGCTGACTTCTGCCATCTCTGCTTTCTATGTTAGAGGCAGATCCTGCAAAAATCCATTACATTCTCAGCTGAGAATTTTTTTATGGAGGAACAGGGTTAAGGAAACCAAGAGGGGTCCAGGCAGCTAAGGACTAGCTACAGCAGAGAACCGTCAGCACCCTGAGACCTACTGGACACTGAGACTGGCCCTCTTAATAGGATCTGTAATAAAAAAATAAAAGTTGCAGCCACTGTCAGAACTGCAGTCCAGTAGGGAGGATTAACTATTCTCACCTCTCCCCAAACTGCCAGTCACTTGCCTGAGACTCCTCTTAGAAACTGGACATCAGCCTCCCAGAGCTCAGAGCAGACAAATGAATCTGGTGTGCAAAGAGAGAATCTGAATGTGCCTTTCCCTGCAATAACTGGCATTCAGTCTTTCCTCTCCAATATTCAATAGTCAGTAGACTCCTCTGCTCTGACCAGATTCCTCTTCCGGGAAGATCCTTGCCTAGCCCATTCTATTTTCACTCCCACTTCTTTGTCTATAATGCTTGCTCTGCTTGGAATCTTTTCCCTCCCACTGCAGCCTCCTTTCTTGCATTGACAATACCCATTATATTTATATCCTAGCTGAAATATTTTTTTTCTACTAAACCTTCCCTGACTCCTCTCTTCTAGCAAAAGCTACCCACAATCTCCCCAGCTACCAATACTCATTACACCTGCGCTTAATATGTCACATATTTAGTCCAATTTAATTTAACCAGCAATATTGAGTGCTTGCTTGTTATGTGTCAAGCATTCTTCCGGATACTCAAGATAGGTATGAAGAGATAGCTAAATAAAACAAAATCACTGCCATTGTGAAGCTTACATTTTATGAGGAAACCAAACTTAATAAATAATATTTCTAGAATATTGGAAGGTAATGTCTGCTATAGACAAAAAGGTAAATCAGAGTACGGGAGGCTGGAGTGCTGAAGGGTAGAGGTTGGGGGAAGGGAAAGAGTTGCAACTATAAATATGATCACGTTACCTCACTGAGAAGGTGAAATAAATATGTCCTGGGAAAGTAATGTATATTGTAGTGATTATAATTAATAATATTGTATTGCAACCTGGCTGGTGTGGTTCAGAGGTTGAGCATCTACTTATGAACCAGAAGGTCATGGTTCCATTCCCAGGAGAGCACAAGCCAGGGGTTGTGGGCTGGATCCCCAGTGGGGACATGCAGGATCAATTAATTCTCACTCATCATTGACGTTTCTATCTCTTTCTCCCTCTCCCTTCATCTCTGAAATCAATAAAAATATTTTTAAATGTTAATGATACTGTATTTCCTATTTGAAAATTGCTAAGAGAATAGATCTTAAAAATATTACCATGAGGAAAAAAATTGTAACTATGTAAGGTGACATGTTAACTAGACTTACTGTGGTAATCATTTTATACAAATATCAACTAATTATGTTGTACACCTGAGACAAATATAATGCTATATATCAAATATGCCTTAATTAGAAAAGGTGCAACTTGAACACAGAGTTAAAGGTGGTAAGGGAGCTAGCTGTGCAGGTTTCAAAAAGAAGAGAGAACTCCAGGACAAAGGACCTGATGCTGGAGCCTGTGTGACTTTTACTTTCTGAGAATCAGGAAAGGGGTCAGAATGGCTAAAGTGGAGTATGAACAGTAATTTTTTTTCCTTGTCTGACTTCTTTATTCAATTAATTCTCACTCATCATTGACGTTTCTATCTCTTTCTCCCTCTCCCTTCATCTCTGAAATCAATAAAAATATTTTTAAATGTTAATGATACCGTATTGCATATTTGAAAATTGCTAAGAGAATAGATCTTAAAAATATTAAATTTAAATGTCTTAGGTACCAGAACTTATCTCTGCATCCAGCACAATGCTCTCTGTGTTGTTAAACACAGAGAACATTGCTAATTGCAGGCTCTCAATCTCAATGGGAAAACCCTCTGTCATGTCAGATGTATTGTAGCTATCTTCCAAGCAATCTTTTCTCCTAATGTTTTCTTCACTGCCACAAGGGATAAAAAAAGAGCTACTGTTTCTTGTCACAAACACACTCCAAATTAGATCTCCTCATGTCTTCTGAGAATTTATTGTAAAGTAAGGTTTATGTAATCTGTAATCCAGTCTACATTTCCAGAACCCCATTAGCCTAAGCCCTGTACACAATTGGCATCTGTATGATAGTATAGGTTTCGAATACAAGAAGAGTTAGAACTCTCACAATCTAGATGTTCTTGGACAAGGTGTTCAATGTGAGATTCTTTCCTCATTGCAAAATAATTCCTACCCAGTAGAGTTAGGAGGATTAAGTGAAGCAATTAGAGCAAGGCATTTATTATTGTACTTGACAAATAACAGAGACTCAGTAATTTTTATTTTTCCATGATCATAACTATCTCTGTAACTGCCCTGACATTTAGTACCCAGCAACAACCCTTGATTTAACATATTTTCTTTCAATATTGACTTGTGTTCCTTTCCTGCCATATTTTCTTGATCACTGACACTTGATGACACCTCCCAATGTTGCTCCAACCACTTAAATTCTTACTTGTAACCTGTTCCTGATTTCTCGTAACTGCAAGTTTCTTCATTTCCATACAGCTGACCTAGAATGTAGATTAATGTCCAAACCTCAACTTGGGGAGTTTTTCATCCTGTAAGTCTAGCTCCAAACTAGGACTTCAGAATGAGTTTGAAAGGAATGTATTTCCATGGAGGTAGAACTGAGTTTAAATTAAACAATTATTGGTGAAAGTTAGGGATTAGTGAATGAGTAACCAAATTCTACCTGGATTTATTTGTGCAATTTCTTCAAAATATATTTCTATGGGGGATTGTTTTTTTAAAGGAATACTTTTTTAAATGTGCCTTTAAAAAATGTACTGCTCTTGAAAAATAGTTATTTTTAATATATTCAAATTATTACTGACTCAATTTCTTTAGTTTGCTCAAGGAGTCAAATGTAAATAACATTTAAAAATTAACCAATGGGGGAAGATCCAAGATGGTGGCCAAAAGGATGGCAGGCTGCAAGATAGTGTGTGAGTGAGAGACCGAAAGGAGAGTGTGTGGACATGTAGGGAGTGTCTGTATTTGTGAGTGAGGGTCAGCTATATTCCACAGAACTGTTGGGGACTGGCAGACCAGGCTCCCCTGGCCTGGCAGCTTCTACTAATGCTGAAATCTTTCCCGGAGTAGCCGGCTCTGCTGTAGAGATTGTGCCATCTTAAAGGGGAAAGCTGCTATGATTGGAAGCCCAATGTTACCTTCATATCTCTGGGAGCTTACAACCACATCACCCACAGACCAGCTGCCTCAGCTGTGAACCC